CTGAGTACCAGCTAAAATAAAGCGCTTCTTTAACTTTTGGACTTGCCTCGTTGTCATTCGATTTTTGAGCTGCAACATTTGGGGGCTCATCCGGGATTCCTAACAGGCCTCATTTTCCTTCTAGCAAGCGGTAAGTACCAAAATTTTATCCAAATTATTGTTGCCGGCATTGACGTTGGGGGCTCAATTCCCCACGTCCCTGGAGTGGGACGCCCTCCAGGTAAAATGTGTTGCTCTTAGAGATTTGGGACTTAGGTTAAAGATTTGGGACTAAGGTTAAAGAGTTTTAACTCAGATCACTTGTTGAAGTATTCGTGACTTCTTTTGTTCCTTTAACTTAGGTCATTTGTTAAAGTTTTTGTGACTTTTTGGTTCTCTTTGAGTGTGGTTACTGGATGATTTCAATTCGGTTTACAGGTTCAACTCGTGCTTGCTCATCTCACCGATTCTGTCTAAATTTCTTTATTTTCAGTTTCACTTTGTTTGCCCTCCTCCTGCTTCCTGCGTTCTTGTCCGATATTGGCCTCCTCTCCTCCAGTATGGGCCAATCTTCTTCCTCTACCTTCACGCCCCTGTCCCTAGTCTTAGATCATTTTTCCCTTTTCAAGGAACGAGCCAAGGGATACGGCGATCCTGTCTACCCCGGTTAATTGAGGACTCTCTGCGAACTCGAGTGGCCCGCACTATCTAATGGTTCCTGGCCCCCGGAGGGCACCTTTAATCTCTCTCTCGCCCAGTCCCTCCGGCAGGTCATTTTTGGTCCACCAAGTCATCCAGATCAATACACCTATATACAAATCTGGATTGACCTCATCCAGGATCCACCCACCTACACCCTCTAGGGATCCCCCTCCTAGCCTCCCTAAAGGACTTGGAGCTGATATCCTCCACCATCCATTGCTGACCCTCTGAAATGACTCAAGGTTTGCTGTTCTGGACACTGTTCCCAGACAATTGGCCAATTCCACCTGGTTGCACTGACAGTTCCAACTGATAAGAAGCAGCTGTGACCCGCGACCATCACGCTCAGAACCTGCTTGTTCCACCTGCCAGCCGGTACACAGATAAATTCATTATGCAGTTGTTAAAATATTGGTCAAAATGTGTTGGTAAATTTAAGCTAAAACATGAAATTATTATAAGGTTATGATATTTCTTTAATGGGACATTTTATTACTATTTTATATTTGTATATGCTACATTTGAACTAGTTGTTAAATGTATTGGTATTCCTTGTGCGATTTTAGACAATAGCACTAGAGAGGGTAAAGTTAATAAGCTTCCTAGGGCTAGGGAGATGGCTCAGTGGAATAAGCGCTTCCCTGGCAAGTGCAAGGGCCTGAGTTCAATCCCCGGTTCTGAAAAAAAAAAAAAAAAAAAAAGCTTCCTATTGGATTTTATGTAAACTTCTGTGAAATGGGACTTTTAGCCAGCTTAGACTTAAAAAACCTACATGCCTGTATATAAAAAATGGGACTCCTTTTGCCAGTTAAATGACATTAGGTCGGCAACCATTCTTAAAGACTTGGAGGATAGGTTTCACTGGGATAGACTGGTTCTGATCCCCCTCTACGTGCTAGAGGGAATGTCAGGCCTGATCGGTTTCAGTTTCCTTGCTTTGACTTTACTCCTAATTTTTCCACCTCTTTGCACTTTCCTTTTTAGAAGCATGTAAAAATTAGGAAAAAAAAAAAAACCTTTGATTGTTCCAGCTAAGTGAAGCCCTTAGAAAATGAGCGTTTGTTAATGCCGAAGACAGAAAAGTCATTCTAGGGAAAGACTCATACCCCGTCTCTGGGTCAGATGAGACAAAGAGAAACTGTGCCCGTCCAGGAGGACACATATAAAAGCCAGGTCACAGCTTAGTGCTCTGGGCAGGTCTCCTTCAGGAGGCTAAACCTGAGACACAGTGGAGAGAACCGACTTCTGGGTGACACCAGAAGGAGCTATCTCCAAAAGCAGCACACTTATGGGACCAAAACATATTTAGTGTAAGGGAGGATTCAATCTTTCCTCCTAAGTCTAGTTATCATTGTGCATAAGAGATAAGTTGTGGACTTTAAATACTTTAATGTAAAGTACTAGGTAATCTTGTTCAGGCTTTTTAGATATTTAGATAAACAATGGTTACTCTGCCAGCTAGTAAATGCTCTTAAAACAGCTACCATTCTGTAAAACAAAGGACAGGTTTCCCTAGCTGTTCTTTGGTGAATCCCCACTGAAGTCTGTGGCTGATAAAATGATAACCAGGAAACTGCTGGCTTCCTTTCTGGAGACATCTCTGGTTGTATGAGTCAAAAGAAACCAAGATTTGATAATAACAATAAGCTTTTCTTCTGGATGGTTAACAACCTAAGTTTGCAGACC